TCTCTGTCCCAACGGACTCTTCCCTTGGAGCTAGTCAGAAGGACTTCCTTGATTTTGTAAACGAAATTGTTTTGTACTTACAAATATTGATCGCGCTGCATTACGCATCCTTTCATGTAGCTATATTCGCTTGTCTAGACATTCAGTAATGGTAGTGAGAGTTTTCCCTGAACCATCAGGAATTCCTTTAGGTGGGCAGAGGCAGGAAGGTTTTGGGCCAACCAGAAAGGAGGAAAGAGTCTGGCTAAAGTGATGCCAAACATAGTGGCCATTTACTGTCCGGAGCAGAGTGGGCGGCAGCGTCACCCCCCTGCCCTGGTGAGAGGCGTTTGCTACCGAGCTCTTTAATGGAAAGGCATTTTCTGCTGGAGAGAACCTCTCCTCCTCAGCCGCCATCTCCCCTGCACCCGTCAGTCTTCACCTTGCCACTATTGCCCACCCCAATCTATCATCTTCCTCACAAAGCACCACAGCCCACCGCAAATGGCTGAGCCTGGAATTCTCTGAGGGCACCTCCAAGCTGAGGGACATCAGCCAGCACCGAGGAGTCCTCCCTGCCAGCCAGCACTGACCTTCTCCAGCCCGAAGGGAGACCTGGTTTTCTACAAAACCAGAATTACACATGCCGTGAGCCCAGCACGGTGATGAAAGGACAAGCCCAGACCCAACAGTGCACACGCTGTGGGTGAGGTGTCACCCCAGTTCACTGCTCTGGATTCACAGTGCCCCTAACACAAGGTCCTACGAGAAAACCAGCCTGAAAATGGGGCTTTGGGAAAGAGCCCAGCCTGGCCCCGAGGTGTCAGGAGGGTCCTCCTGTGCCTGGGGGAGCAGAGCCCAGCCTGGGCTGCAGTCAGTCCCACCAGTCGGCATGATCTGCTCTCCCCTCTGGTCTCTCTATAAAAGCCGAAATCAAAGAGCACCTATGAAACAGGTGAAAACAAAAGATGCACATTTTAAGATGGTTTTCCACATTGAAAGAGCTTGGACAAAAAATATTGATACTAAGAAGCAATTTACTTTGGGCTGTATTGCACCATTGATTTTGGGGCAGAACTCCCCATTAAAATCAATGATTCTGAAATGTTCAATGTGGTTCTGAAAAATCGATGGGGAGTTTTGCTTAAAAATCAATGATATAATATGGTGCTCTGTCAATAATTTTTCTGTATTCCCATTTCCGAATATTTGCAGTCGTTTTTGTGCTTCCTCCTCTGCAGTCGGTGCCCCTTTGTGCCTCTGCAAAGCTCAGCCATGCTGCCAGGGCCTTCCCTGGGCCCGATGGGGGGGTCCCAGCCCTCTCTGGGGGGTGAAAGGGGGCTGCAGAGCACCGGGGCTCCCCCCGGCCCCCCCCCAGTGGGGTCTGCTGCCTTTCATTGCAATGGGACCACACTGCAAGAGGCATGAACCTGAGACACATTCTGCTTACTTAAATTAAGCCAGGTCAAATTAAGGTGGCGTGCATTAAACCCACTTTCCGTGGCACCTCCACACGCCGGGCTGAACATCCTCACTGCAAAAAGGGCCTCCTGGAGACACCCACAATGCACGGATGGAAATACAGTTGTTTAGGCTAATGATTGTTTACTTGCAATGACATCTAGTTTAAAGTAGCTGTGCCAGATAAACGCTGTGCGACAGCCAGGCAGGAGCTGCCAGTGCAGCTCCCCATGGGGAGCCAGCAGCCCAGACCTGCACAGAGCACGTTGGCCATCCACGTTCAGGCCAATAGAATAACTCGCATTTCTTTCATTTGCTGATTAAAAATGATTTCTCCTTACATGAAATTGGCAAAATGCCTCTTAATTAAAATATCTGGCACTAACCACAAGCCAACAGGCATCACTCAGGGTCCGAGGTGACCCTTCTCCCCCGGTGGGCTCCTTGCCAAGCTGGCTCCTGGCCACTGGACAACCCTCACCATGCATCTCCGTGACCTGCAAAGCAACCCACCTGCCTTAGCAGCATGCACCTGCTGTACAGCACAACGATATCAGAAATGATTAATTGCTGCACTTTGTTAACAACTAGTGCAGAGCTCTTCCTTCCCTGGGTAATCCCCTTTTTTCTGGTTTTGGGCAAAACCAATCCGTGTGCTGCAGCGCTGAGGGAAGGGCTCCCGCAGGGCTTGGCTGGGGCTGGTGCTGCCCCACAGCTCCCCATGGCCTCCCCCAACACACCAACAGGTCCTGATGGGCTCGGGGGGACTTGGTCCTTCCCATGGGGATGGGGGGCACAGCCTTTCCTTGTGTTCTGAGGGGGTCTGTGCCCAGCACAGCCCAACTCCGCGCTCCGGCCTTGTGCGCGACTACGACACAAGTTATACATGGTAATATCAAGAACAACTCATATGGCACCATATGGCATAAGACACCACCACCACTGCACAACTATGTCTGCAGAACAACAGTTGCTAGAGGTTGTACTCTGCTGTAGCAATGGTGATGAGTGCAGGACCGACACAGCAGCACGGAGAGCTGGAGCCCATGGCAACGCCGAGCATGGAGAGCTGGAGCCCCCGGGAACACCGAGCATGGAGAGCTGGAGCCCCTGGGAACACCTAGCACAGGGAGCAGGAGCCCCTGGGAATGCTGAGCATGGAGAGCTGGACCTCCTGGGAATGCTGAGCATGGAGAGCTGGAGCCCCCAGGAATGCTGAGCTCAGTTTGGCAGCTGGGGAGGACAACACCATGACACAGGGGAGCCCCGAGCCCCACCACAGCTGCCCCAGCCCTAAACAGCCTTTGGAAAAGCAAAAGCCAAAAAATGTGGGATAATTAAAATGGAGAAGAACGCCAGATAAAAGCTCCTTCTCCACCTGGGGGGCAGAGTGTGGTCCCAGCTTCAGGGTCCGGTGGAGCTGTTATGCCACAGTGGGCACCTGAGGATGCTCCAGGATGCTCAGGTTTGGTGTTGTACTTGAGATCTCCTTCCTCACCTCCTACGTCTGCTTGTAAGTAAATAGGCTGAGAAAAATTAAAATGTGCCATTTTAAAGTATGATTTTAAATAGGATTTTGCATCTTCTTTCTGTGTGTAGTCAGTCCTCAGCATCATACAGAACAGTATAAAAACGTTAAAATACTTGTAAGCTTACTTGGAATAAGAAGTCCAGTTATTGTACAGGCTCCTTTATCCTGAGACATAATGGCCAATGTTTGCAAACCATCAGTGAGCCTATGGTTTGCCCTCTCTACAAACAGCCTGGCCTTCAGCAGTACCGAGGAAGCCGTGTCTTCCTTTGGCTGCCTTGGATGGCTGTTGGTGACCCAGAAAAGGGGCCACTGATCATGGATTTAGAGATGGAAACGGGGAAATTTGGTAACTGTATTCCTCCTCCAATGCCATGCTCAATTCCCTTTAAAAAAACAGTTTAAAAAAATCCCAGTGCCTGGCTCCTGTTGCTGCCTGGCCAGTGGGTGCCCTGTCACTGTTAATTGGGGTAATGAAGGCTTTGACCACTCCTTATAACCCATTGCCACCACAGCGTGGACATTTTGGGTGGGACAGACTGAAACAGAGCGGATGCTGATGCAGCTCTGCTGAGGGAAGTAAGAGGCACCACCGTGGTGGGTCCCACCTGGCAGAGCTCACTGGACCGGCCACTGCACCCAGCTGGCTCCTCGCCCTCCAGCGCTGTGGGTGCAGCCTGTGGTGGGGCCATGCCCACAGGGAGAGGGGAATGGGGAGGGTACAAAGGGATGGGCTAGAGTCCTCGTGCTCCCTGTTTGGGGTACTGTCTTCCCAAGGGACCCCCAATCATCGGAGGGTGCAGAGGGCAGGCACAGAGCGAGGTGTGTACGCGCTGGGGTTTGGGGCTCTCCTCACCCAGCACGTCTCCAGAGAAACCAAATTCCATTTATCGTAGTGGCTTCCCTTTAAAATCAAAAGACCAACTAGTACCACACAATGAGCATGTTTCAGCCTGCCTAATTTGGGCTAGGATTTGGCCCAAATTGAATTAGAATGCTGAAGTATTCTGAGAGCAATATAAATGCCTAGCTAAGGTACCAGCTGTATTCTGACCTTCTTCTTCATGCAATTCTTTAAAAAATGTAAAATTCAGTAAATACGAAAATATGCAAGCAGTGGAAATCAGGATCCACCCTGAAGAACTTGCAGGTGGCGATGAACTGGAATTCTGAGTGGCATTCCAGTCAGCCATGGCAATATATGTATGCTGAGCTATCGATAGCAACATATACAAAAGAAGCAAAACCTTTTAAAATTAGCAGTTCTAGTCCTAAGCAGGAAAGAACAATAAAATTAAGAGATTTGGAGTGTTTAGTGGAATGCTGAAATATGAAAATACCTTAAAACATACTCAGTGGCATACCTATAAATGCAAAATATTTCCATTTTGCTGCTGCATGAATAGCATCCACCGAATTTGATAAATGCTTCTGCCCTGCTAAATGTGCTTAAACCCTTTGATGAGCAGTGACGAGCATGACTAAAAAGCATCTTTATATTATGGAAAATATTTTAGGGTGGGGTGTTTTGTTTTTTGTTTTTGTTTTTTGTTTAGAATTGTATCTGTAGAATGTTTAATTGGGTTTTGGGCACTTTTTAGACAATCATTTGGCACTTTGAGATTTCGGTTCTTAGGCACAATGCGACAAGGTCAGTTTGGCCAGTCCTTCACCGTGCATCCTGTAGAGCAGCTGGAACTCTGCAGGCAGCTGGTGGGACTCCTGCCACTTGGTTGTGAACTTTGTTCCCTTTTTGTCATAGTAGTGGTACGGGAGGTCCTCCCTCGTGTTGGGGTCGAACCCAAAGGGCCAGAATCCGTACAGGTGGATCTCCTCGCAGACGGCAGACGCGAGGGTGTACATGAGAATACCTGTGCTCAGCCGCTTCGGTGACAAGTGTTTGTTCTTCCAGTATCTGTGGAAAAAACAAAGGCAGGGTAGTCTGGGCTGGGAGTTATGCTGTGGGTTTGCTGTAACTCAGAAGAATGTCACCGCCTGATGACCATCAGTGCTGACCGCTGATAGGCTGGGTAAGGCTCAGGCTGCTCTGCAGGCCAGCTTGTAATGACTGGGTGTGCAATTCTGAAGGGGGTGCATGAAGAAGAGCTGGCTAACAGATCGAGGGAGGTTCTCCTCCCTCTTTACTCTGCCCTAGTGAGGCCACATCTGGAGTATTGTGCAGAGTTCTGGGCTCCCCGGTTCAAGAGAGACAAGGAACTACTGGAGAGGGTCCAGTGGGGGCTATGGAAATGCTCAGGGGACGGGAGCATCTGAAGGTCAGGGTGCTGCTGAGGTTGTTTTAACACAGTCCCAGCATGGTGGAGCTGGAAGGGACCTCTGGAGATCAACTCGGTGGCAGCTGGAAGGGACCTCTGGAGATCAACTTGTCCAACCTCTCTGCTCCAGCAGGGTCACGCAAAAGCGGGGTGCCCAGGATGGCATCCTGGTGGGTTTGGAAACTCTCCAGAGAAGGAGACTCCACAACCTCTCTGGGCAGCTGCTCCAGGGCTCTGGCACCCTTCACGTAATGAAGTTTTTCCACATACATCTGTAAAGACATACCTGAAGCAATTCCTGAAGCATTTGCTCTAAACCCAAGCGGTACCGCGTTCTGCCTTGCTAGATGGTACTGACCAGGTCAGGCTGAGTAACTAGAGCTATACAGAGAGAGAAGTATTTTTAAATACACACCTGTTGACATGCTGCATTATATTTCCTGGCCAAGCCAACTGGACCTTGAGTTGCCCTCTGTGCTCCACAAAGAAGTCAACCAGTGTTCTCGTGACGGTTGCTGACGTGTGGAAGAAAAAAGCAGGGATCCAAAGAATGGCCCCATCGAGCTTTTTCAAACTTAAAAAGAAGTTGTTGCGATCCTGAATGGTCAAAAGATTGTTGTAATACTTCTCCAGGATGCTGGGGTTGAAAGTTGTAAGGTTGGTTTTCCTCCCAACATCTTTTTGGAAAGCCTCAGTTGGAGCAAAATTGCACCGGAAAACGAAATCAGATTTATCTATTTCCTGGCCACACTGACTGCCGGTCAGGATCCCGCTGTTCCCAACCACGGCACAGACGTTGTAGTGCTTGTTGAGGATGGGTGACACGTCAGGAAGCAGAGACCTGAAGTTATTGCTGATAGAGAAAACATACTTATGGCTGGAATAATCGTAATGCATCAGCTGTCCAATCCGAACACTGCTCTTGGTCAAAGAAAAATTCTTTATCACGTCAACGTGCTGAAGGATTTCTTGCCTAAAATAAAACAGAAAAAGGAAAGAAAACATGGAGTTATATTTCTGCTTTTTCTGCAGTGGAGGGATTTTCTTTTCAGCTAGATTTACATTTTTCTTTTTTTTTTCAATGTAGTAAAGTAGTTTCCTGAGCAATGGGGTGCAATGGCTTTTAAATTAATATAAATAAGTCGGAATTGCAGAGCTGACTCCTCATCTCGGCTTTACGGGGCGGTCCTGCCTGTCGCCAGCTAAGAATGTGTCTGTGTCTCTTGGAAAAGTGTCAGGATTAAAATACTGGATGGAGTGGGAGGTGTGTAGCCAGCAGCCCAGCCCTGCAGGGTCCCCGTGCCAAGCGGCGGTGCCCGGCGTGGCTCTGCCCTGGCTGGGACACAGGCCTGGCAGGTGGGATTTCTGCTGGACTGCAGATCTTCAGTAACGTTGGGCACCACGTTTGCCACAAGGTAAGGGCAGCAAACCCGAGCTCTCCAGGATATTTGGTTGAATTAACAGGAGCTGATTTTTAAATATTTTTTTTTTTGTGTTCTCATTAAGAAGCTTTGAATCACAAAAGCTCTCCATCTCCATCTCCATTTATGTAAGTATAATTCCTTCATCATGCCTTATTTGGGCAAGCATACCAGCTTTTTATAAGGTTTATTAGGGATATTTAAAAACTAAACAAAACCAACCCTGCCCAGGAATTTCCCTAGCAAGGCATAAAATTAGAAAACCAATAGCACTTTATTTGCTCATGTTTATGGAAAACAAACAACCTTTCTTCCAGCTCACATCCTGCAATGTCTAAGCATTAATGGAGTCCCACTGGGTGCCCTAATTATGGGTTATGGCTAACGGACAAGTGCAAAGGCAGATCCCGAGGCATTAGCTAAAAATCATCAGAGGGGTGGCACTGAGACAGACTTTGGAAGGATGAGCTGGTGGTGCCAGCAATGAGGCAATACTGCAGGGTGGCTCCTGTCACATCAGCACGAGAGGTGCTGGGGAAAGGACAGGGTGGGCAAAGAGTCATCTCTTCGCTCTGCTCCATGGCTTCTGAGAGCAGAGGGCAGCGCTTGTCAGCACTGGAAGGGTGTTGCTGGCCCTGATGTGCTGGAGACTGACCACAAGGGAGGAGAGAAGCCTGAGCCCTGCCTGCCAACACTGAGGGGCTACCAGGCTGCAGACCTGAGGGGCCTGAGTTCCTGCTTCTCCAGTGGGATATGTGAGCCAAGTCACAAAGTGGTCTCTAGTAAAAGAAGAAATGGCCACAAGTTGTGCCAGGGGAGGTTTAGGTTGGACATGAGGAACAATTTGTTCCCCACAAGGGTTGTCCAGGCCTGGCCCAGGCTAGCCTGGGCAGTGGTGGAGTTCCCATCCCTGGAGGGGTTTCCAAGCTGTGGAGATGTGGTGCTGAGGGACATCGGTCAGTGGGGACCTGGAAGTGCTGGGGGACTTGATGATCTTAAAGGTCTTTTATTCTGTGATTCTCTAAAACAGTGGGTATGTGTCAGAGCAGAATTACAGTCCAAGACAGTAGTAGCATCCTTAATTGCTAAACGTTTTTATTTCCTTTTATAGACATTTAAAATAGATATTTGTAAATATATACATAAAGTGTATATATTTACTTTTATATATATATGTATCAGTGAAGCAAATAATTAAAAGAGACTGGCCAGACACCAATAGCTTCACATCACAGTGAATCACATTTTACTATCCACTAAATAGGGAGCAGCTCTGAGGAAGCTGAAGAACAGGGAAACCCGCTGCCACACAGCAGGAAGGCCGGTGCCCCCTGCAGACAGGAGGCAGAGGCGATGCACAAGGGCAGTGTCCCAGGTGGAGCCGGCTCGT